TCGGGTGTTTCCGGTAAACGGGCTGCTGGAAAGTGGCTGCTAACTTCACACCGGTCACCCTGTATATGTGTTTCTGGCTAACATGTTGGTATCGATGGATGGGCAAATTTATAAGAAATTTTATGCTATAACAATATACAGGTTGTATTTGAAAAATTTTGAAAATTGAACCTGTTTCAAAACCTGTTTCAAAACACTCTGTATAAAATAATCCAGTTCTATCACCACTATTCGTATCTTATAAGTCTGTATTTTAAACAATTTTGAAATCATTGTAAACTTACCTAAATCACAATTTATAGCTAAATAATCAGTTCGCGCACTCTGCGTCGGCACTTTTGATCTCAATGTTCCAGTTTATACACTGCGCAACTCAGATTTGTATCCCTGGCGCATACAGAATCAAATCATAAACAATACAATATATGACAACCGCCTATATTCAAACAGCAGTCTTCTGCGCATCCTGAATTTGTATCCCTGGAGTGGATATTATTCAACTGGTTCAAGTGAGCTAACTGATTCTTTAGCAATAAACGGTGCCTAAATTATGATAATTTAATGTGGGGTCTGCATCATTCTTTAATTTCATATAAAAAGTAACTGCTTGGCAAACCTGTAATATTTTTTAATAAAATTCTAGTGTGAAATACAGAATTACCAAATCATTCTATAAATGAAATAAAATATAAATTTAAAAAATTACATTTTCAATTGCCAGACAAAAACGCAACAGCCTGTATAACTAAAAGTTTTTAAAATATGTATTTTTTAAATCCATATAAATTTGTTTGCGTGTTTTTAACACAAATTAAAATATTAAAGACATTCGCACTGAAATATGTTCTAACTAGTAACCATTTTTTAATTATTATGATATTCATTCGTGAACATTAAGGGATTTTTCAAGTAAAAACTGAATGTAAATTTGCTCTTTTCTTTTGAAAATTACGAAAATCGCAATTGAGCTATAAAAATAAAATTTGAAGAAAAAATCCAATGTTTTTGCTGAACTGTTTATAAATGATATTCAAATGAAAACAATAGGCATGAGATTAAACGAGCTTTTTTAATGTTTATCAACCATATTAATCAGGGCCGCGTGGCAGATTTTTTTCAGTATGATGCCGCCCATCGGCCGCCTTTTAATTTTCGATTGAGATTTAAAAAAAAACTGCACAAAATGTATGAATATTAATATTTTTGTAACGGTAGTTTAATTTATTTATAGTTTATTTATTTAAAACACTATTTACAATTTATTTATACGTACTAATTAATTTATGTAATACTTAGGCACTACAGGGTGTCCCAATGAAAAGTAGCCCGTTTCCATTTGATAAAATTTGGTTACGGTAAATTTAAAAGAGGAGATTTAAAAAAACCCTGTATAGGTAATACATAATTTCTGTGTCACTGAAGCAAAACTTATAGCAAAATAACACATATAAGCAAAAACCGCACGTTTCTACGATTTGTTTAAAAGTTATAAGCTCTGGAAATGGGCTACTTTTCATTGGGACACCCTGTATTATAACTCACAATTCAAATTTATTTATTACAATTTATCTTTTCTTTCCAACACTTAAATTCAATCTTAACTTCTGGTCGACAAAGTCGCGGCTATTTATATAAAAATGTAACGGCCCAGAATGAACCAATCCTGCTGGAAGAATCTCGAATCATTCGCGAAGTACTTTCCCTATGCGTCAGCGGCATACCTACAAGATTCCGGTTTCGACCATGAGTCGGGTGGCAGACTTCAAGATCGCCTCTAGACAGAGTCGGCTCAGGCATTCTCATGACATTGCCCTCTCCTTAGGAAATAGTTCCTCCTGGAACTAAAACTGAATGGTTGTATCTGCAACTGGATCCTCTTTTACAATTTCCGGTTGCATGGAAATAACAAGGGACGGTCTTCGCTATGACCTGAACGCTGGGAGAATGGCTGCAGACCAGGATTTTAACCTGGGTATCTTGGCATTACTTCCACCATGTTTGACATGGATAGTTTCTGTACATTGAACTCCAGTACGTGCTCACTCAGACTAAGTAATGCCTCCCATACATCATGATAAGTGGATCGATCTCGGAAGGTATTCTTTGTTACCAAATAGAGAAGATAACGCGATCCATATTGAAGTTTCAATGTTTTTCCAGGGACTGGTAAGTGATCTTGAAGTTATGGCAATCGACCAAATTTCTTCCGGAACACAGATGCCATACCTCGAGCATTGTTGATGTTGGCGGAAGTGCTGTGGACCAGCGAGTAATCTTTAGGATTTCAAAATTTCTATTTTGGTCACTGTGGATCTTCAAAGGCACTCCAAATCTTTTATTAACACGTCTGCAACAGTTGCGGCCTCTTGATTTGAAATGGCGTAGACTTCCACCCACTTCGTGAAATAATCCATAACCACCATCATGTATTTATTACCATTCTCGGTCATTGGGAATGGTCCAGCAATATCTAAGACAATCCTCTTAAATGGGCTACCGACGTTGTATTGCATCATAGGGGCCTGTCTTTTTCGTTGGGGTCCGTTACTCATAGCAGTCCGTTACATCGTCGGAACTGTTTATCCAATAAAACCTTCCACGAACTCTCTGAAGGGTTTTCTTAACACCGAGATGTCCTCCTAAAGGACTGTCGTGTAACTGACGAAGTACTTCGGCTACTCTAGTCTTTGGCATAAACAATTGTCTTCTGTTTTCGGAACCATCATCATTCTCTAGTACTCGCTTTAATAAGCCTTCTTCTAGAATAAAAGAGTCCCACTGAGCCCATAATGACTAAACTACTAGAGAGGGTTTTGATACTTCTTGCCAGGTAGATCTACGGTTTTCCTGTTTCCAATGTCGCATCTTTTTTAAAACGGGGTCTTCACTTATTCCTCCCTAAGTTTGGCAGGAGCCTACTCGTCGTTGACTACAGTTGTTCTGATGAATCCAGTCTCTTTGGAGTCTGCTCTGTTGTAGTAAGAGCACTCTGCTGGACACCGTCTTCTAGAAAGGGAATCAGCATTTATGTGACTTATTCCGGCTGTATGTTCGATCTTAAAGTCGTACTCTTGAAGCCGTTTAATCCATCTGGCGTTTTGTCCCTCAGGGTTTTTGAACTGGATCAACCATTTAAGGGCTGCATGATAGGTACAGATTAGGAATTTCCTTCCATATAGGTACTGGTTAAAGTGTTCCACGCATTTCACAACTGCCAGGAGTTCTCTTCTCGTGACGCAGTAATTTCGCTCAGGTTCCGAGAGCACTTTACTAAAATAACCCAGAACTCTTCCTTTTCCCCCTTGAATCTGTGAAAGCACTCCTCCAATTCCCACATTACTGGCATCAGTATCCAGAATAAATTTTCCCTCTGGTAGTAGGTAGCCTATTATTGGCGATGTTGTTAAATGTTTCTTTAATGTTTTAAAGGCAGTTTGGCAGTCTTCGTCCCAGCATAATTCTCTAGCTTCTTCTATGAGTCAGGCTTAGCAATATCTGCTAACTTCCTTATGAATCTTCGGTAGTACGTACAAAGTTCAAGAAAACTTCTTTCTTGATGTTTGTCAGTTGGCTGTGGCCACTCTTTGATATAAGCGACTTTTTCCTTATCTACAGCCACGCCATCCTTGCTGACTATATGACCCAGCTTTATTTTGAAATAGTTGGCACTTCTTGGGGTTTAGCTTTAGTTGGACAGCTTGGAATCTTTTAAAAACATCTTCCAAGTTCTTTAGATGTTCATCAAAGGTGTTCCCCCCAAGACTATGATGTCTAAATACATCAGGCATGTTTTCCAGGATAGCCTTCTCAATACGTTTTCCATAAGTCTTTAAAATGTCGCGGGGGCATTACATAGTCCAAATGGCATGGCATTGAATTGCCACAATCCAGATCCGGTGGTAAAGCTGTCTTTTCTTTGTCTACTGGGCTTTCCAATATCCAGACTTTAAGTCTAAGTTAGAAAATAGTTTACTTCCGGCCAATGTGTCCAAGGTGTCGTCGATTCGAGGCAGAGAATAACTAGCTTTCTTGGTAACATTTTTCAATTGACGGTAATTCACACAGAACCTCGTAGTTCCATCCTTTTCTGGACCAGGACTACAGGAGAGACCCATGGGCTAGTAGAAGAATCTATCACCCTGTCTTTCTTCATTTCCTGAACAATCCTTTCAGCTTCCTCTCTCTTGGCCTTTGGTAATCTTCGAGCTGTTTGACGAATCGGCCTGGCGTCACCAGTGTCAATTTTTTTGTTTTACAACAGAAGTTCTTCCTGTTTTCCCCCTTTTGGTACAAAAATGTCTCGATATCGATTAATCGAAAATAATCGCTTAATCGATTATTAGTTTGTCCACCCCTAATTGAACTATTGAAAAAAAAATCCTAATTCAGAAACAAAAACGATATCAAATTAAAATCTTCAGGAAAAATCAAGCTTTATAAGGGGATAAAGTCTATTGATTCTGAAAAAAATACTAAATAAAAATGAGGGGTTAAGGGGGGTAGGGTCTGTTAAACTGTGAAGAGTATAATATAGATTGCCAAGTATTATATATCTTCATTCTAGTTATTTTAGTACATACTGTTCAATGTTTTGCCATCCAGATATGTTTTAATCTATGTTGTAATCACTAGTTATATTTAAACAATTTCCTGTGATATTTTGTTTTTGTTTTGCATATATTTGTAAGAAAAATGTATTTTTATTATAGTAAATAAACTGTTTTATTATTACTATTAATTACAATAAATACAGTTATCAACTCTATCTATACTTATTCATTTTATTTTGCACAATAGTACAAGAAGTATTTTTCGGGAATAAGTAAGAATTGAACATTTTTGGTTTATATTCTACTTACGGACCACTTAGAGATAATTTCTAAATTCGGTTACTTATATCGAGCAGGACTCATATCTCTCTCGGTCATGGCCAAGTCTAGAGATTACTTTTTATTTATAGATAGGAAATCATTTAAACAATACGATTTTTCTTGTTGCAGGAGGTGTGATGTGGAGACGAAAAAGAGAGCGCTCGGGGGGTAGCTAGCGGCGTGGGAGCCCCCCGGCCCCAGCATGACGCGCGCTAGAGAATGAAGAAGCAAAACGTTCGCACCTTATCTCTAATTGTTTGCACCTTCACGTATCTTCTCATCGGCGCGGCTGTCTTCGATGCTCTCGAGTCCAGAACGGAAAACCAGAGGAAAATTGTTTTGCAAGGTAAAAATATTCATTTTTGTAATTCGCTTTTTTTGTCGTTTGTCACTCTCAAGAAAGTCAAGAAATATCTACTTTTTCTGGCCCAAGGCACAAAAGTGATTAATTACAAAATAAAAACTTCTCGTGGAAAATTATCGTTCTATCTCTAAGTTGTGTATCAAAGCTAAACTTTTCGAATCAATCATATGTGTCTAGCTATATCTTGATTTAAACAAATATCAATAACAGTGAACAAAAAAAGTCCTGATGAAAGTAACCTATTCGTATAGGTACTATTAATATTTGCTGGATACTATGAATAAATAAGGATATCAAGTAGATGTTATTTATTTATACCGACTTCAGCAAAGTATTTGATATAATCGAATACAGTATTCTTAGATGTAAACTTGCCGAAGCCGGTATTCAAGGAACCATTATTCAAAATTTTTAAAAATCTAACTTTTTCTCAAAAACTCACAGTTCTATCACCGTTCAATGTCAAACTTCAACAACTTATTTACAAAACATAGTTGTAATATCAGAAATAATATTCAATTAGGCATTCCAACGACCTGTCAAACAATAGGTGCCAGTGGGAAATTCTTGTATATTTAAGGGGGTAGCGACATAGTCTTGCAACTTGGACGCTATTTTTATTCGAAGTAGTACTCGCCAAGCCTGCCAATTTATGAAGAAATGTATAGGTGGGTTTTTTAAATATAATTTTTATTGCGTTTGACATAAAATATTTAAATGTAATCCATTATTCATGATTTTACGTAAAGTAGATAGAATACACCATATATGTCGCCACCCTTAGATATACCAAACCTGCCCACTGGTAATTCATTTGTTTGGAATGCCTAATTGTGTGATAAAACCTTTCCAGGCTAACTTAGATACCAATATCTCCTCGTAATTATTATAGAAGAAAATTATTGATTTTTTTAAAAGGTTTTATATTTTTTGGAACATCTTTCCTGTTTTAGAAATACAAAACATTGTAAGAAGAAAATACAACATTAGCACCGAAGATTTCAGGATAATGGAAACTATCGTTTTGAAGTCTGAACCCCACAGGGCCGGACAGCAATGGAAATTCACGGGGGCGTTTTATTATGCCACTACTGTGCTTACCACAATAGGCTACGGCCATTCCACTCCGAGCACTATTTCCGGGAAACTATTCACCATGTTCTATGCCATCATCGGCATTCCCCTGGGATTGGTAATGTTCCAGAGTATCGGTGAAAGGGTCAATAAGTTGAGCAGGTATGTATCGGATCTATTCTATTTTCCATTATTTCTGTTTTTCTTTTGCAAATCCTAGTGGCTAGAGTTGAAAATCGAGAATCAAATCAGTAACGCTTGAGAAACTGGGAAACTGGAGAAAATGGGTCTTTGTATTTCTACTGGCAGGTGGAAAAATTTAGAATTCTCGATAAGATTTTTGTATACAAAGCTTATTTTATTTATAAATGACTACAAAATAGATTTTAACGCCACTGCAGTATAATTTACTTTTTATATAATAGTTTTTCCATAATAGTTAGATTTAAAAAATAAGTATAATAGGGATCTATCATTTCAAATATAATCTACTATAAAGGACGTCCTAAAAATTATAATCAAATACATGGCTTTTTTTAAAGAAATCATTGTAAATTTTGATATTTTTAGAAGAATTAGGAGACCAGTTATTCATGGTTAAATTGTGGTTTTGATTAACAGCACCGTTTCGATGTAAAAATATTAATTTAATTTTTTTTTTTTGAGTTTGCATGATATTTCTCATTGTATACTACTGAGAAATAGTGTCATTATTTTGTTTAGAAACTGCTCTTACGAATGGCGTTGCTCTCGGATGGTTACTCGGGCGCCAGATTATTTGAAATGGTTTACTCCACTAACTCTTGAGAAGGCGTCAAAAGGTACTGAAGTGAGGGTACAAACAACGGGCTTTAATCGTGATTTGTTCCAGATAAAGAATTTTCCAGAAGCTGAAAGAAAAGGGGAAAAATCAGGACAGACCATAGATATAGAAACCAGGGGCAGACACAGTATAATAACTGCAAAACTGTGCCAGTTGTTTTAATTAAATTCATCTATTGCTTACGAGAGTTATACATAATTTTAATTTGTATCTTAACCTCCACTATTTACGAAATAATAAAACCCTGTATAAAAATAACAAAAAAATAGGTCGGGCGGTGGTTGAACATTGCGGTGATTGACTGAGATGATATCGGGACTATTTCAAGAAAATAACTATACGGGCAAACGGTACGGTTTCAGTTTTAATGAATATTTGACTAGTAAGATGGAATTTTGATTAATATCATCACTTTAATACTAACGGAATGCGAAACGGTGAAAATTAGTGTTAATATTAATAAGTGTTAATGTACCACACACGATTCCCAGCTTGGTACTAACGGAATAGGCCGATGTCTAGTACATGTTAACAATGGCTACTCTATATTCTCGGATATTCGAAAAGTGAATCAAGCAGAATAATCAAAACACAGAAAACACATATAATATGTAATTACTCGATATAAATCAACATGTAGTCCTTGTCAAGTCATTTGAGGAAATAAACGAGCAGACATTTTAACGTGCTAGCAAATAGTAAAAATAAGTGGTTTGTTTTGTGAAATAAATTTTGAGATTTGGCTAGTGTGAAACAGAAGAAACGATTCATCCATTATTGTTATAGAGATTTAATAAGGTACCCTTAAATCCATTCTACATATTACTGGATAAGACAAAAAAAAACAATCCAAACAAACGATTTTGAATGTAGTAAGGGACCTTAGGTATTAAAAATGAGCTTAACAGATGACATATTTGAAAAATTATCAACATTTATAAAATAATAAAATATAATACAAACCGAACAATTAAAAGAACATCATAACGCACAAATTGCAGAAATTACCTTGAAAATAGAGAAGGAAACTGGGAAAATTAATAAAATAGAACAGAAAGCAAACGAACAAAAAGTAAAATATCAAAACGTCTATAAATAATAAAATTTTTAATCTAAGATTCAAAACAGGTGACTTACTTAGTTATACAATTGGACAATTGAATAAAGTCCTGAATTAAAAATTGAAAAACACCACATCTATAATATGATAATATAAACTATAGGAATAAACCGATTATTCTATCTAACAGAACTGGATATACTTAGAAATTGTCACAATTTAAAGGGCACGAACTTAAGAATTTCTAAAGTCCTAACTCTTGAAGACAGATTATATTGTTACATGTTGCACACCTTCATACATCTTAAATATAACTTGCCTCAACTTAATATTAAAGAATTGATTTTTGTTTTACTTTGGCTTACTTTTTTAGACATTATTTTTACATACTTTGTACAGAATTTGTTGGTTTATCAAGTCTATAGATAGTTTTCTGCGAAATATTAATGCCTTTGCAGTCATTTGATTGTACTCTTTTCAAAAGCCTCGCAAATGGATTTGTGCTTAAAATAAGAAACTACTTTTAGGATAAAATTTTTTGATTGATCACTAAATCGTTTCACCATTTGTTGAATACTTTTGAAATATCAAAATAATATACACATTTTTAACAAAATCACAAATTCAAAATTATTTTGATAACTGTCACTTGACATAATAACATGATGTAATTAATCTACGACGTGCCAAAATCTAGTAACTTTTTGTTTCATCCATTTTACATTTAAACAATAATGAAAGCGAATGAACTTGGGGTATTTCCGAGACTTTATAAATTCAAAGTGCTGTATCTTGAATGAATATCCGCTCACGGCTCTGACGGTACCAGTGAAACTCCTCCACGTGCGACTAACTTAACGCATAGTGTAGGTATTCCAGTCCGCGCGCCGCGACGGTAAACGACTGCACATCGTTAAAGTCTAAAGTTTACGCAAATTTGGAAATAAAAAGTTTCCCATGCCCATATAATAAATCCTAATCTTATTTCCATTACGTCACACGTTAAGAGGGGGGGGGAAGGGGTCGGCGAAGTGTGACATTGTGTGACAAGGGGTGGGAGTATGAAGACTTGGGAGGGGTCTTACATTTCGTGACGACACATTTGTAAATAAAGTCTTCATAGTAAATAACTTTGTAAAAATAATACCGACTTAGCATCAGCTACCAATCCGGTATATTTGAAGTCATAAAGGATATTGCAGTTTTTGGTGGCGCAGCTGATGAACGACGTTACTCTGAAACTATAAGGTGCTGCAAAACATTGGATAATTTACAAGCTGAACTTTGTAACAGGGATATATTATCAGTCGATCAGGGTTATACTTCGGACTTCTGCCCAGACGAGTCAATACAGAGGAAGGAAAGAAACACGTCGTAACTGTTCCTGTTAAACTATGCAAACCAGATTCTACGCCACATTTGAAACATAAAGATGGCACATTCTGTACTGCTACGATAAGAAACATTGAATGTTTAGCTTCAATTTTGGGTCCTGATCAAGTTTTCTTCTTATCAGTACTTTTAGGTATTATAGCAGCAAATGCTCAAGCACCAATATTAATGCACCTTTATGTTTATGCAGGTATTGTAATAAAAAAAGGTGAAGGGAAACCTGAAGCTGTGACACACTCTGGGCCTACATACGTAGCAATTCGTAGTGGAAAGTATTTTTCCTCTAATGCAGAGACATACATAGACTTTTTGAAACACCTGCTTTTAAAAGCTTTATGAGAATTCGAGGTTTTGTAAAACCCGTATTTATTTTTATTTGCGACGGTGGTCCCGACGAAAATCCACGAGAGAGTTATAGTTTCAGCTATACAACATTTTAAAAATTCTAACAAATGCTCCGGGAAGAAATACTTTCAACCGAGTGGAACGACGAATGGCGCCTCTTAGTCGCGAACTTACTGGTGTTCTATTAAAACATGACACTTTTGGTTTACATTTCGATTCCAGTAATCGAACTACTGACTTGGAGTTAGAAAAACGAAACTTTGAGAGTGATTTTCCTGTTGTTACCGAATACATTATGCCAACAGATACTAGATTGGATATTGAACAGGCTAAGGTATTGAAAACTTATGTGATTTGGTACGCAAATCATGTCCGGTAATCACAATATTTATTATCAATAGTAAAATGCGAGGTTGTCCCTTGTTGTGGTGTGCGACGATCTAGACTTTGGCGACTATTGCGAGAGGGTTTTTTACCACCACCTGTTTTAGTTAAACAGACGTCAAACGGGTATGTAACCATAGAAAAAGATGACTCCGAAGGCAAATTTGCTCCACTGTTACTTCAGCTATCTTTGGATCTCCAAGCACCATCACATTTGAAGCAAATTCCGTATGATAGGCTATTGTCCCATTGTCGAGGCATACTGGTTTAAGCGATCGTGTGGCATCTGTGGTCTATATTTTGCATCATACAAGGCCACTAACCAACACAAGCAATCACATAAGAGGCAACAAGACATTTTGTCCACCGCGAAGATTTTTGCTCAAAGAATTGCTACTAGACGTGCCAGAGAAATTATTTGATTGGATAACGATGATGCCATTTGTTTAGATGAAAAAGATGTTGACACAATGAATGTTTCTGGCAATAACAACCCAAACGAGACCGAAGTGACTGCTATGCAAGTTATAAATAATTTAAAGAAGTGGGTTCAAAGTCCATGGACTTACAATAAATAAGTTTAAATATTTCAATGATATTTTTGACGGTTGAAGAAAAAATAATTTTTCAATTCCATGTTTATTTCTTCACAATTATACTTATCGTAGATTTTAAAAGTAATATGATTTTTGAAAATTGTGAATTAAATATATCGTAGTACGCAAATCGAAATCTGAAAGGTCAGAAATATCTGAAATAAGTTGTAGAATAATTTGAAAATTCGAAAACAAATCTCAAACATCCCTCTACTAATTATTAACACCCTCTCCGAACCCCAAAGGTGAAAACACATACTTGGAGATTTGAAGAAAAGCCTGTCAGCCCCAGGATTCGAACCCAGACATCTTTGTTCTGTACACAAATGACCTAACCACTGGACTATCGCGATATTGACTGTCGAGATTCCCAGCCGATAGTTCGATGTGCTAATTCGGGCCAAGCGCCGTTGTCAGGTTTGTTCTTAAATCTTCAAGTACCTCTATACAGCATCATTGTATATGAGAAATGCCATACTCCAAGTATGTGTTTTCACCTTTGGGGTTCGGGTATAGTCTTAATAATTCGTAGGCGATTTTTGATATTTGTTTTCGAATTTTCATATTATTTTACAATATGATTTTTGTTTGTATATTTTCTATTCCGCATTTTAACAAGAATGATCAAAATTACATGGTTCATGGTTCCAACAACTTAAATGTGGATTCCTCCCACATTTAAACCCCTTATTAAGATATTTGTTTACGTAGGTATATTATAATTCTACATGCAGTTTTAGGAAACTATTTTTCAATTTCATGTACGAGTAGACTAATGAACTTTAATGAAAATGAGGATACAATTTGATTTGACATATAAGACAGTGTGTATGTAAGTCTGGCAGATTTGCAGATTGCTTTTTGGAATATGCAACATTGATACATGCACCTTGAATCTTAAGTTCGCCATATTTGCAGATCTGGCTGCAATGTAATCTCGCCCTTTATTATATTATTATTTCCGCCAATTTGCTTTTTTTGCAATAAAACCTACTTTTAACATTGTTCTGTTCTTTATTGTTTCAGTGTAATCATTCGATCTGTTAAGTCTTCCCTTCATTGTCGTCAAACTACCGCCTCAGAACTGGATTTAATATGCGTCGTAACGTTTTTGAGTTCTCTGACAATAGCTGGTGGAGCTGCAGCGTTTTCCAGATACGAAGGTTGGAGCTACTTCGATTCCGTTTATTATTGTTTCATTACTTTGACCACCATTGGATTCGGCGATATGGTAAGTAAACTTTTTTTTAATTATATCAGGATGGTTAATAATTCCTAATCTCAATTTGTTATGAAATAATGTGCTGAAAAGTTCCTGGCTTTACATAGAAAGAAACGTGTTAGCAAAATATGAACGTATTCTCCCTCAAGGTAACATATTTAGCATAACGCTTGTTCAGTTTTCTTTACCCTTACGAATAAAAGTGGGACAATTGCCTCTTTAAAAATGCCTTTGTAGGCATGAGGAAGTATTAGAGCCAAATTTAGTGCCATTCAGGTGTTTCTTGATCTGTGGAAAGAGATGGTAGTTCGAAGGGACTAGATTTAGGGAATAGGGTGGGTGGTTCAACAATTTGTAGTCAATTAGGTAGATTTTCATCAGGATGTGGTGAGCAGTATGGACAGGACAGATTAGCATCAAAGCCAGGAAAATTTCAGAACGTCCTCGTAGTGTTGCTTTTACCGATATAACATAATATAATAATATAATATAAGTTTTGATGCCACTAAGATTTCAGAAGTATGTGTTCAAGATATATTGTTAGTATTCTTATGTAGTTTGGAAAGCATTAGAATAAACACTTAGCTCATTAATCGGTGAGTGTTCTTTGGAAACCTTATTATGATGGATAAAACCCGAAAATATGCAAAAAACAGCTAGAACTTGTTCAGGTTACATCTAATTTAAACTTCCACATTGTTATAATTTCCACATTATTCTGAGTTCCATATTATTCTGATTTCCATATTATTCTGACTTCCACATTATTCTAATTTCCACATTATTCTAACTTTCACTTATGCTATATAACATTGACATGTAACAGATGTAGACTGGTGGTCCAGGGCTATAATCTTCTACTATATGAAGACTAGAGAGAAGGAAGCGAATCGGCATTGGTCAAATTTCAAATATCCGTCTTTTTTTTATAAAGTTCGCCAAATTGACTGTAGTTGAAAGGTCGAACATCACTGCCGTTTATTTTCTATGTAAATAAATGTAAAATAAAGTGATTTAAAAAAAAATGTGAAAATAATCATAATCATGTAAAAAAAGTACCAGTGCAAGTAACGTGAGTGACAAAAAACACCAAAGCAAGATTTACTTCGTTCCAGATTGTAAAACGGGATATAAATCAGAAGTAAAACTAAAGAAAACACAAGGAGAAATCAATCCAATGTGTTTTTAAAGCTTCTAATGTAAATAAAATAATTTATTTATGTCTAAATATAATATTTATTGTAAACTAGTCACAACACGTATCTAACGAAGTGTAGTTTATTTTATTACAAGTTTCTATAATATAAAATTTTACTTACAAACAACAATAATCATACATTAAATTTAACTTACTAGAAAAGAAAGTTTGTTTTTTTATATAATTTTACTGTGAGATAAAGAATTGCTACTGTTATTTTTTTGTTGAACCCAAATTTTGTCATTGTAAATGTTTTTTTCCTAAACGCTTAGAATAGTGGCAGCATATACAGGGTGTCGCATTTAAGATGAAGACACCCCTATATTTAGTATATCTAAATAAATACAAATTTGAAGTTTTGCACAGTCATGGTTCACATCTTTTAAGATACTCAACTGAAATTTAAATTTTAAACGCGGCCTACTGCGAATCCACAAACAGGGTCAATTTTCGATATTTTTCTTCGCGTTAGAGATATCAGAAAAAGTTATTTGAAAAAGTTGTTCCGAATATTATTCTAAACCCACATATTAAATTTCATGACAAAATTCGCATTTTTAGTTTTTTCATTATTTTGGTCAATACACAAAATTATTAAAAGTTGATTTTTTTTTATTCGATAAACTAATGTGCCATGGGTAGGAATAATTTGACACTTGTGAAATCATTAATGTCAATCATATTAGACTTTCAGTTTATTAAATTGAGTTCTATTTAGTGAAAACCGAATTAATATGGCGTTGACTTTAAACGAAAAAATCGAAATAATCTGATTGTTTGGTGATTTTGCTCGTAGTAGCAGAGAAGTTGCTGCAGAGTTTAATAGGAGTCATCCGCAACATGCTTTCATTACAAGGTTATTTTTTAAATGACAGGCATTTTCTGGAGAAGATTATGTTTACAGATGAGGCTACATTCACCACCAATGGCATTGTATCATCTCAAAACTGTTGATATTGGGCCAGAAATAATCCGCACTGGGTTATAAAATGTAAAGATTAATATTCCCAGAAAGTCAATGTCTGGTGTGGAATTTTCGGAGATCAAATAATAGGTCCTTTTTTCTTTAATGAATCATTAAATTCTAGTCGTCTAGTTAACTTTTTTGATGGGGAATTATGAGATGCTATAGAAAATCTTCCTATCAATGTGCGACAGGATATGTATATATATATCGGCCTTACTTTGCAATAAAATGTTAATTTCAAAACACTTATAAGAAATTTTCACTAGCTCATAGAAATTTAACACCAAACATTACATACCTTTAATCAAATTAAAAAGAAATGAGCACTTTGAACACATAGTTTTCTCAGTCGTGAATTCGGCTTTTCTAATAGACAACTTTGGGGATAATAGTTTTCTGGGAGAGATGGGCGCCCATAATTCTCTTTTTTTTATTTTTAGAAAGCTAGTGAGGATTATAAACTCTAGCTTTATCAAATGGAAATTAATTAAAACTTATATACAATTTAGGCAAAAGAGAATTGTTGTAACCTTAAAAAAAAAAAAAAAAAAATTCAACATATATATTTATAAAAATGAATTAGTTTATTTGGTAAAAAGTGTGGAATCTATACCCTATAAAGAACCACCATTACAGTTATTGAATTACTATATGAGTAATAATCTGTGTGATGGCTCATTTAATTTTAAAGATGTTAATAATTTATAATATTATCTGTGGAATAAAAACCAACGCTAAAGGCTGCGATGGATTGAACATAAAGCTTATCAAACTTTGTTGTCCACACATTATTCCATATATCACGCACATTGTCAATTTTTGTTTGAGTGAAAATGTTTTTCCTTCGGCGTGGAGAAGGGCAGTTGTGCAAGTTATGCCAAAAAAACAAAATCCAGAGGAATTTAGAGACTTTCGTCCTATAAGCATCTTGCCGGTTTTATCAAAAGTGCTTGAAAAGGTGATGGAGATGCAACTAAAAGAATATATTTTGAATTACTCAATTTTTTCACCTCTTCAATCGGGTTTCAGGAAAGGTTTTAGTTGCACTACTGGTCTTTTACAAATAGTTGATGACATTGTTAAAGCATTGTTAAAGCAACTGATAAAAATTATACACCTTGTTAATTCTTCTTAATTTCAGTCGAGCATTCGATACGATTAATCACAAATTAATAATAAGTATGTTAAAACACATAGGCTTCTCAGAAGGAGTGCTATCGCTATTGAGTAATTACTTGCAAAACAAACAACAATGTGTAGTTATTAATAATAATTTGTCAGATTATATCTCAATTGAATCGGGTATCCACAAGGCTCCATTCTTGGACCACTGCTATTTTCCATATACTTTACTCATCTAGTAAAATCTTTACAACACTGCAAATTTCACTTATACGCAGATGATACCCAACTCTACTACAGTTTTCCTTTTGATAGAGTGGAAATAGCATGTGAAATTATAAATGCCGACTTAGATGCTTTTATCAAAACTGCTACGGATCATTGTTTAATCATAAATTCAAGTAAATCAAAAGTCATTCTTTTTGGACCAGAAAATAATAAATTAAATGTTTCGAGCGAACTTAATATTAAAATAAATAAAGTGTATTTAACTATAGTTAACGAAGTAAAAAATCTTGGGGTATGGTTGGATACAGACTTGCGGTTTGAAAAACATGTAAACCAACTTATAAGACGTGCTTATTCTAAACTAAAAATAATTTATGGTAACAGATATTTTCTCTCATTTCACGTGAAATGTGAAATGTGAATCTTTAGTGCTTTCAATATTTAATTTCGCAAGTTCTGTCTATGGTCCACATCTAACTATTCAGTATAAGAACAAAATTCAAAAAGTACAAAACTCATGTTTGAGGTTAATATACGGTATTCGCCGACGGCAGAGAATTTCTTATAAATTAAGAGAAATTGAATGGTTAAATATGGAGAATAGGAGATTACTTCACACACTTAGTCTTTTTCATAGAATCATTGTAACAAAAAAACCGCCATATCTTCATAGAAAAATAACATAAATATTAGACATAAATTTTAGACATAAGGGACCACTGTCAATACCCTCGTTTAATACAGAATTTTTTCGTCTATCATTCGGATATCAGATCTGTCATCTTTACAATCAGTTATCTAATAACCTAATAAAATTAAATATAACCAGGTTCAAACCTTACCTCAAACTATTTTTGTTAAACAAACAAAATTAAAATTTATTAAAGTTTATTACTCCTCAAATAGTAAAATTAATTAATTAATTAAAATTAATTTAATATATCCTACCATTCTAGTTTTGTACTAGCTTAATGCTTATTATTTATATTTGGGTTAAGTGGAAGAACAGATTTTGTAGTGGATCTTCCTTCAGAAATCTGAACTTCGCCCTTTATTTTCAATAATAATTCTTGTATAATTGTTAAAATTATGAAAATTGTAAATTTATATTGAAAATAATAAAGACGATATTGTTATTATTTTATTATTATTATTATTATTATTATTATTATTATTATTATTATTATTATTATTATTATTATTATTATTATTATTATTATTATTATTATTATTATTATTATTATTATTATTATTATTATTATTATTATTATTATTATTATTATTATTATTATTATTATTATTATTATTATTATTATTATTATTATTATTATTATTATTATTATTATTATTATTATTATTATTATTATTATTATTATTATTATTATTATTATTATTATTATTATTATTATTATTATTATTATTATTATTATTATTATTATTATTATTATTATTATTATTATTATTATTATTATTATTATTATTATTATTATTATTATTATTATTATTATTATTATTATTATTATTATTATTATTATTATTATTATTATTATTATTATTATTATTATTATTATTATTATTATTATTATTATTATTATTATTATTATTATTATTATTATTATTATTATTATTATTATTATTATTATTATTATTATTATTATTATTATTATTATTATTATTATTATTATTATTATTATTATTATTATTATTATTATTATTATTATTATTATTATTATTATTATTATTATTATTATTATTATTATTATTATTACTATTATTATTATTATTATTATTATTATTATTATTATTATTATTATTATTATTATTATTATTATTATTATTATTATTATTATTATTATTATTATTATTATTATTAAGTGCTTTATTTGGCAATAAACAAGTTAATTTTTATTATTTTTACAAAATTATGTATAATTCCCATAAGAAGCCATGTATTTTGAACAACCTAGCAACACTAGCACCCTTGCGGTGAATTAAAAAAAAGCTCAATTAGCGTTCGTTTTTTGGGACCATATTTCGATTATACCGATTCGCCTCCTTATCTCTAGTATTCATAATTATCTTCTACAGAAAAAAAGAATGACACTTTTAGTTGATCGAGAAAAAAATATGAGAAAAAGAGACGTAATTTGTGATTTCATGTTCGTTACCTTTATAACGCTACTCCTTGACTTCTAAAATAGCACGAAATCCGCTTTCCTCATTTGAATTTGAATGAAATAAAAAATTTGACAAATATATTCCAAAATATTTTTTATTCAATACAAAATAATTTTGTTTCTTTTTTCAAGAGACAACACGGATATAAGCAGGGCCGCCGAGAGCCAGACCGGGCCCCAGGACAATTCTCCAGATCGGGCCCCGCGACAATTTTATAAAAAAATAAAAAACAAAAGGTCTAAGTAAAACTTTCTGCTCTTCTACTTGAATTTCTCTAAAAAAAAGGTCTTCAAGCAAAAACTTCTGAAAGTAACGAACACCACCGCTGCCGGGCCCCTATTTAAGCCCGGGCCCCGGGCATTAGTCCCGGCTGCCCCCCCCCCTCTAGTCGGCCCTGGACATAAGTAATTTTCTAAGAATATAATATTTTACAAATACAATTTAACTACCTTTATCTCCAATATCAAAATTAGGTGTTAAACGAACTACCTACCTATTTTAAAATTATAAACACAAATAAGAATAAGAAATAAATAAGAAAAATTTCCATTTCTAAATAATCATATTTTAAACATCTTAATCTTGAATTTATCTTACATAACATACCTATTTGAATTCTAATAACTTAATAATGATATTTTGGTGGATGATTCTTTTTAATTTATATAATTAATTAATGTAATTTGTTTTAGTTTAGTAAAGAAATCTTGAAATTTCAACATCTTGAATCTCGAATACGGATGCCTGTATTACAATTATTCCTAATCCAACCCCACTTATTTTTCAGTAATCTACCTAACGTAGCAACGGAGCCACTTTTTTAAACCCTGTATTTTGAATCTTTATTAGCCTGAAAAGCAACAAAGTCAAACAACAGAATTTGTATATTTCTATAATAGATGTGGAATGTCTAAGCTGAAAATCATTCCATTAGTATTTTAATTATTAATGCATGCTAAGAATCTACAGTTAAATGTTTACGTATTGCTTTAACTCATTAATCAGTTAAACTTCAGACAAATCATCATATATTATGATTGACACTCGAATAGGAAACGATTGATTGTGGAATCGTTTTTTTCGGAATAGCTCAATGATTTCTCGTAAAATTAAAACCAGAACCACACCCTTAAAAATTATGAGTGATTTATCGAATATGAGAGATTTTTGAATGTAAAGAATTAGAGAAATTTATGATTTTGAGATTAGTTTATTTTGTTTATTGTGTACCAATAAAATTTAAGAAAGAAATTAGAGAAAAAAAATAGAAAATTCAAATGAGCTCTTTGAAATCAAGGATATGAACTTAAAGAATAAGAAATAACAAATTTTATTGATTTTTTGCCATATTTTTTCTCTACCAACTGAAAGTTGCATCTTTCTTGATATATGTAAAAATACTTTATTAATCATAATATAAACGTTCCAATTAGTTACTCCTTATATAAAACGATTTTAAAAGCGTCTAATTATGATTATTTCTTTTTTAGGTAGCTCTTCAAAAAGACAATGCTCTGAGCCAAAAACCGGAATACGTTATGTTTGCTTTAATTTTTATACTATTCGGTCTAGCTATAGTGGCAGCTTCACTCAATCTATTAGTTCTTCGGTTTGTAACTATGAACACTGAAGACGAAAGAAGAGATGAGGCACAAGCTATGCAGGTCAGTATATTAAATATTTAATTTAAATTATTTGACAAATTAAAATATTCTTAGAATTCGGCGAGAAATTTGTCATTACATAAATTGATCAAGGAAGAACTCATCAAATTCTAATGGTATTATGTAATTCGAAAGCAAATTGTATATATATATCTAAAACCTTACTCGTTAATTGAAAATTTTGCATTAATCATGCGCGAAAAAAGCGCGGGACTTTTGAATTTATTAGTAATTTTCCAAACACGTTTTTACTCTCTTATCCTCGCTTTACAACTATTGGGTTGGCTATGATGATAACCACCTGTTATCATTACCCCAGTATAATTAATAATACGGAGTCGGAGTGGTCAGATTTTTATTGACGTTGACATTTTTTCCGCTTATTTCTATACTAAGAATATAAATTTCAAAATATCTTGCCCTATTAGAATAAAATATTACACAATAAATGAAAGATGAAAACTATATCTAAATATAATAAAAATGTATTAAATTGTGAATTACAACCAGTCAGATAATCAAAACAATCTTTATCTTTGATGGTTATAAGCAGGTAGGGTTAGGTTTGGCCCAGAACACTGCGGCCTCTTGGGTCTATTGTATTCCCCTGCTTCTCCCGTACTCAGGTACTATCTTTGGAATAGTCCTGTGTCTTTGGTTAGTTTTAATACATTCCCTACCAAGTGTTCCTGGGGCGTTCTTTCTGGTTCTAGGCCAAAAAGGGTGAAACGTCGCCTAGTAAGAGCTTCGCATTCGAAGATCACATGGTATGAGGTTTCTTCCTCTTCCATGCAGAGTCTACACGTAGTGGGATCATTGTGTAATCCCATCACATGAAGGTGTTTCAGCAAGCAGTGCCCCGTTAGTAATCCCACAATGGTGGATATCTGAGGCCTTGCGAGTTATAGTGCCTCAGTAGTCATGCGCGGGTTTGGTCCCCTTAGCATGAGCTTACTGATTCTGTGCCCTCTTATCCTTTGCCGATGAATTTTGTCTTTTGTGGTAATCCACCTGGTCACTGCCTGTCGAGGAGGGGTTTTGCTTATCCCAAATACAGGTTCGGGTCCTGTGAATTGTAGATCTGATCCCTCTTTAGCGAGTTCATCAGCCTGTTCATTTCCTTGGATACCTTTGTGCCCTGGTACCCACGCTAGTTTTACCTTGTTGTGGGTTGCCAGATCATTTAGTATTCCAAGGCAGTTCCAGACAAGCTTTGACTTGATTCTGTTTGAATCAAGAGCCTTTAAGGCTGCTTGGCTATCTGAGAGAATAAGGATGGTTTGTTTTTTGTACTTCCTTCTTAAATTCTCTCGTAAACACAATTCGATTGCATGTATTTCAGCCTAAAATACAGAAGTATGTTTTCCTAGTGAGACGATGATGTCGCATTTGGGTTTAACTCCATGTACACCAGAGCCTGTTCTCTTGTTAGTATTAGATCCATCTGTATACCATACGAGACCGCTAAGCAAGTATTTATCTATCTCCTTATTTACCTCGTTCCAGTTGCAGTTGACCTGGAATAGTCTGTTGAATGTTAGGAGGTGTGTCATGTGATCTGATCCCATGTTTAATATATAATCATTTACTTCATGTGTTATACTGGTATGTTTTATATGTCCCAGTGGTTTCCAAATGTTGGAGATTTTGAGTCTGTATGCACTCATTTTGGTCTCCCCCTTTATGACTAGGTCAAGGGGTGAGAGGTTTAGAAAAATTTTCATAGAGGCTGTCGGTGTACTTCTCAGTGCTCCTGTAATACAAAGGCATGCCAGCCTCTGAACTCCTGAGAGGGTATTGGAGGCTGTTTTCTGGTTTACTTTTGGCCACCAACAACCTCTCCGTAAGTTATCATAAGTCTTGTTATTGCCAAATATAGTCAGTGGACCATTTTTGGTTTTAATCCCCATGTTTTTCCAAATGCCCGTCTCCCTACATTGAGAGACATTTTACATTTGTTAGTCACTTTTTGTAAATGTTGGTTCCAAGTAAGTTTGCTATCTAGGATTAGACTCAGATATTTTACTTGGTTCGTTTTGTTTAGCCTTCCTCCAAACAGAGTCGGGGTTTCTAAATCCTCCAATCTTGTTTTTCGAGTAAAGTTTGAGTTGTGCCTTGTTAGGGCTTACCAAGAGGTTTTCCCTAACGCACTACGTTTCTGTCAGCCTAAGAGCTCTTTGCATGAGTTCATAGACTGTGGTTTGGTGTTTCCCTCCGATAAGGATGACTATGTCATCGGCATATCCTTGGGCGTACAGCCCTTAATTGTTTAGTGTTTTCAGCAGTTCATCTGCCACTAGGTTCCACAGTAGAGGAGAAAGGACTTCATCCTGTGAGTTTCACCTGCATGGTTTCACTGAACATTTGTGCTTGTACTTGCCGTCCGCGTAACATGTCTTCTATCCACCAGCAGATGGTGTCTTCTATTCCATGTTTGCGAGCGGCAGGAAGTATTATCAAAAGCTCCTTCTATGTCAAGAAATGCTCCTAGGAATATTTCTTGGCTACTGAGTCCCCCCTCTACCTTGGTTACGAGATGATGCAAAGCACACTCACAAGATTTTCCTAATTTATTAGGCATGTTGGTTTGTATGAAATGGGCCTCTCTATCAGAGTGGACAGTTTTTCCAATCTATTCAATAGAAATGACGTCAGAATTATTGGTGTATAGCCATTTGCCACGGCATACATTTGGACGCCCTGGTTTAGGTATACAAACAACTCTGTTTTGTTTCCAGGTATTTGATACATGTTTATGAACCAAACTTGGCCTGTAGATCCTACAAAGGGTCAAATTTCGTTTAGCCGAAATTAGTTATGTTAAAATTGTTGCTATGGCAACCGTTGCTATGGCAACCGTTGCTATGGCAACCGTTGCTATGGCAACCCTTGCTATGGTAACCAGTGATCCACAATAGATCTGAAAAGGTCGAGGTGGGGGAGGCCACATGGTCCATAGTCCTAATTATATCTAAATGGTAACCAGTAAACCCAAATCCCGTGATAAGAAAATGCATAGTTGGGCCCCTACAAATATGCGGAGCCAGCGTTTCTATTGCCTGTTGCAAAAGCACAGGCAGTACCCCATCTGGTCCCGGTGATTTGTATGGATTGAAAGTGCGTATTGCCCATGTTACTTTCTCTGTTGTGACTACCCGTTTAGCAGTTCCCCACTCTTGGCTGGATACTTTTTTTGAAAGTTCCAGTTCGTGAGGGTTTGGTTTGCTGCATTTGAGTGTGTTGTTCAATCAGGGAAATGAATTTTAACAAGCAGTTCTAATGTTTCCATTCCAGTTTTAGTGTATTCTCCTGTTTGGGTTTTTAAAGTTCCCACAGGTTTTATTGGATCTTTTGCTAGAATGCGGTGGAGTCTGCATCCTTTAGTTGTATTTTCAATTTTCATTAAAACAATCAACCACCATTAATCCATTGACAATTTACATATGCCAGTTTGACGTATTTGCCGCTCATTTATGGATATGCGCAGATAAATATGGAACCCTCATAATTAATGAATTGTTGCTACTGTATTATTATACTGGGTCATTACTTTAAACAACTATTAGCAATGACTACAGCACGGGTACTGATTTCATTAGATAGCCATGCTTGTGAAACAACAGACATTATTTGTTTTTTATTGCTGTCATTCTGAGTGAAAGTGAAAATAAGTTAAGAATGAATGAATTTTTTTTTATTGAAATTAATTTGTCTCAACATTGACGGTTATTTGTAAAGTGGATATTTACAGAAGGCAAGTCGGATAGAGAAGCATTCCCGAGGATTCCTACGTTATGCTTTTTACTTTCCTATCTGTATACAGATATAAGGAAAGTATAGGAATCATGATTTTTTTCGACCTCGACTTTTCGACGTTTTGAGGTCCCCTGAATCCGTTTTGACTATTTTCGCGATGATGTCTGTGTGCGTGTCTGTGTGTGTGTGTGTGTGTGTGTCTGTGTGTGTGTTTGTGTGTCTGTATGTCGCATAACTCATGAACCGATACACAGAAAAACACCAAATTTTATACTTAAGCTTTATTCCACCGTCTAATAAACTGATTACATTTTGGGCAGAGTCGGAACATCTGGGGGGGTACTTTATAGGTGATCATTTTTATATTTTATGGAATATATCTGTTATTTACGTTTGGAGAAGAAAATTCTTTAAATAAAAGTTACTTCTAATATAATTATCTATAAATTTTGTTCTATAAAAAATTTTCCTAAAATGGTCCGTATTCGAGAAATTTGACAAAATGTAAAAAAAAAATAATTTTTTATAAAAATTGTTCAAATAAAAGTTGTTTGTTATATAATTCTCTATAATTTTTATACTAAACATAATTTCTTTAAAATGGACCGTATTCGAGATATTTGAGAAAATGTGTAAATTTCGAATTTTAAAGAAAACACAAAAACGGATAAAGAAAAAAACATTAAATTTTAAACTTAAGGTTTATTTCGGCCTGACGTAAAATGATTAGATTTTGGACAAAGTCGGAACATCTGGGGGGGGGGGTACTTTATGGGAGGCTGTTTTTATATTTTATGGAATATATCTGTTATTTATGTTTGGAGAAGAAAATTGTTTAAATAAAAGTTACTTAATATTATTATCTATAATTTTTGCTAAATGTCAAAATTTCTTGAAATGGTCCGTATTCGAGAAATTTGACAAAATGTGCAAAATTCTGATTTTTATGAAAATTGTTGGACTAAAAGTTGTTTGCGATATCGATCTCTATAATTTTTGTTTATACATGATTTTTCTAAAATGGACCGTAATGGAAAAGTGCTAAATTTAAATTTTTCAGTTTTCGTTTTCAATGAATATCTATAGAAAAATGTTTCGAGGTAGATGTATGTGGACAATGTATATATTTAGTTTATCCTCTAAACATTTATAGAGATGCTGCAATAGGTTGTACAAAATAACCGGAAAAAGCCTATAAAAACTAGATAGGAAAGTCATGTGTTGGCACATCAGATTTTTATTTTTACATTTAGCAAATGGCACACCTAAAAATGTTAATGGCTCCCCTATCAACATCAAACGCATAAACAGAATTACATTTGCGGATATGTAATTGGAACTCAGGGTAGGAAACAAGAACATATTTTAAATAGAATTTGTGCATAAGTAATAGAGATATTTGATAACGGGAAAGGTCTATTGCAACCTGGAATTTTGGTGTTATATACAACAAAATTGATAATTGCGTTTTTTAACCGATTTCAAAAAAAAGGAGACGGTTCTCAAATCGTCGGAATATTTTTTTAATGTATGTTCAGCGATAATTCTTTACTACGTTGTCTAATTACTGGAAATAAACCTTGATAGTGATGAGAAAATGATTCATGAAGAATTTTAAGTCTAGAAAAAATTGTTTCAAATTAAAATTCAAGTTGTAGCAGAGCTTTGAAGGCGTTTTGAGCAAGAAGGAGAAGCATTTCTGAAAAACTTGCTTACTGTAATGAAACTTGAGTTCTTCACGTTGTATCAGAAAGGAAATGTTTAAGTTTAGAATGATTTATCCCCAAGTCATCAGATTTGAGGACGATGAGATATTACGAATTGTACATTTTCAGAGACTAGTTTTATCAGACGATTCAGATTATTCTTTTTTTTACATTAAATAATTTAAATTGAATATAATGCAGCTTTAAAATTTAATAATGTCAATAGTAAAACAAAAGAATATTGTCGAGGTAACTTGAAATCTACAAATTATTTATTCATGAAAACTTTATTTAAAATTCTTTTCAAGTGTGATTTGAGCCGAAAATCGTCTAATTATTGTTTCATCCAAAAAAGTGTAATGCACGATGTCTAATTATCTAGTATGAAATGCGCAAACATCATTTTTTCTACGATTGAACGATTGATAACGAATATATATCCATTATAGGTAGTGAGAACAATGCAAAAAATGAAATCCACCAATCACAGTTCATATTTTGGACACCCAACAACTATTATTTTTAAAAGTTTAAATAAGTGGCAATTCTGTCAAACTAATTGTCAGTATATTTTTAAGTTATTGAGATTAAATATACATTAAAATGAGTTATTTGTGTGTAGAATTGATAAATAATAGCATTTTTATTTTTATTTGGTCCACATAAAAAAAAATTAATTAAACTATATGAAACTAATTTAATTACGAGTATTAAAACTAAAATCACAAAAATCGCCGTGAAGCTGTGGACAGAACATCTGCCTTTCACGCGAATATTTATAGATTTTCGTTAGTGAGTTGTAGAAAAAATATACTGTACAACTCGAGTGGATTGTCTATATCGCACTCAGACGATTAAGCACTCCTTCTTGTGCATTGTGCTCAAACTTCGTCTTCGTGCGATATGGCCATCATATCCACCCTTGTTGCACAAACTACAATTTTGTTGGTCTTAGATAAAATTATTTATTTATTTTTAGGCGTTAGCCGGCGCCGTAAGGTTAGAGGGAGACGTGATAACAGCTAATGGTTCCATTCTAAGTGGTCAATTAGGGCATCATTGTACAGAAACGACATCTTTAGATGCTGACGATACCTCTGTGTGTTCTTGTCCATGTGGATGTATACCAACCAATAGCAGACATAGGTATGTATTATTTTTATGGTACTTTTAATTAAAACTGTTATATATTTTTTAATATTATGTGTTTTCTGATCTGCAGGCATTTTATAAGTATTTTGCATCAATGTAAGGCTCAAGCTTCAGACCTTTTAAGTGATTAGTCAGTGAGGTCAGTTTTGAACAAATTTTAAATGATAAAATGAAAAAGGGCCTTCCCAGTATCGTATACTATTAGTCCCTTATCTGACAGCAAAAAGTGGCATGTCGTATTTTTTTGCTTGATATTTGTAGTTGGGTACAAGGCTTAGAACGACTATATATATTCTAAGGTACAAGGCAACATGTACTGTCCCGGTAGTGGGAGATGTCATGTAACTTGTCAAATTCAAAGTAAAGTTTTTTGTCGATTGGTTTTTTGGTTTTGTCCTGGCAATAAAATAATATGTTTCTAGGCGTCTATAACAATAAAAAATCCCGTTACAAGCATTTTCTGTCGTCCGGTTTTGCTACTTCCGGTTTCACAGTAGGTTGCCTGATGATGAAGTAATATAACTTCGAAATCTGTCGCAATTTTGAAACATATATATCTTTATGAGGTTATTTTCTACAACTATAAATTACTGTTGCTATAACATAATCACATGGCTAACTCAAAAGGTTTTACCCTCTTGATCTTCTTATCAGGTTTATATTGTGAATAAACTGGATCCCCTAAACGTTCATATGTTGGTGGGGCCATTGTTCATGACTCTAGTGAATCTGGTGATAGTCTGGTCAACAGTGTACATCCGAAGAACTCGTTGGAAGTCGCTGTAACTAATGTACCAAGTAGAATCGACAGTGTTTTTTAATATTTTGTTCTGGAAGAAGGTGGCCCTGTTGTTAGGATAGATAAAACACTGCAAAATAAGTTGGGTTGGTTTAGTAAAAAATGTTCGTGACGACATCCATTTTCAAGATACAGGGTATTAAAAAAAATTATACAAATTTTTACGATTATGTACGAATATGGTTTGGAAGCTGATACATCGCGCTAGTTACACAGTTCGTACCGAACAGTTTTAAACAAAACATTTTCTAGTTCAAATTTTATGTGAACTGAAAATCATTCAATTTTACACCAAAAAGGTACCCTTGGTAAAACTCGATACTGTGTACTGTTTTCGGAATATTTTGATTTGAAAATGATAAAGTAATATCTGATTCTGGTACAACGTATTTTTAAAAGAAACAATTATTACCCATTCATTAAAAACCAAAAACAACAACATTATTGTAATGCCAATGTTATTAATTAAACAAAGAATCACAAGAAGAAAATTAAAATACATTTGACTAAAAACGTGAAATATTCAGTTTGTAAGTGTGGAAGGCCCAGGACTGACAAGAGAGGGGGTAGCCGGGACAAATTCCCAGGGCCCGACAGCTTTAGGTGAGGACGTTTTATTTTTTTAGAAGTTGCTGGTTTATGTAATTATGTAAAATACAAGATGAGGACCTTTTTTTTGGAAATGTAATATTAAAAGGACATTTTTTTTAAATTGTCGCAGGCCCCATCTGGAAAATTGTCCCGGGGCCCTACCTGACTCTCGGCGGCCCTGGGGAGGCCACATAGCCCACATTACTAATTAAATCTAATCTAAGTGTTCAAAAGTCCTCCGTTTTCACGAATACATAATTCTATCGTTTTTTCTAAGGAATACATTAATCTTCTAAAAGGTTGAGGAACAGCTTTGAGGTCATTTAACTGATGTTCAAATCTGTCTTGCAAGTCTTGACGTGAATTTACCTCTGTAGTATAGATAAACAAAACCAGTACACGAAAACTGGCTTTAAAACGTTAAACCAAAATTTACTCATATTTTTACATTCATAGGTACTATGCTCGTCAGTAAATTAAAAGAATATTGTAATTTTGTAGACAAAGAATATAAAAAAACTTTTGGATTAAAGTGCTACGCGATGGTTAGCGTTACGACCAGCTATAGAGCGAGTTTTAGAAATATTTTCTGCATTAAAATCGTAATGCAACTACCGAGCGGGTTTTTTCTTTATTAAAAAATATCTGGACTAGCGAGAAAACCCAATTGAATGTAAAAACAATAAAATCCTTAAAAGTCAAAAATAATTTAAATGCAAGCTGTATGGAATTGAATGTATGGAAATATTCAGGAAAACGAATATTTGTTGAAAATTCATTCTTCAGAAAAATATATGAAAAATCAAACTAAATGCGATGTGTTGTTTATTGTGTTTTTGTTTTATTTTTGTTTATATTGGAAAATTGTATATTAATTTTTCATATTTCTTGTTTAAATAAACATTTTTTGATTTCTAAGTTTTATATTTACTTAAGTTTAATTAAAATTAATATTGTCCTGGTTTCAGTTTAGAAAAAAATGGTCAAGTATAGACCTTAATTTTCCTTAAGATACGACTAAACTGTGTAGTCCAAAGGATTGAAATGGAATGAACATAGAGGTCAATGAATCGACGCTTCTGCACCTCTACCAATCCATCAATTTGGATAATGGTTACTCAACCAATTACGACGCCTTCTATCAATGTGCAGGGAGCTCCATCATGCATAAAAAGAGAGATATTCGCTTGTTTAGCGCTATATTTTCTAATATCTGAAATAAATGATTTTCTAAAAACTCGAGGTACATACCATTCAGATTTCGAGGTAGAATGTGATAATCAATTAATATGTTACCTAAAGTTGCTGCCCAAACTTTAACTTTAAACGAGTGTTGGTAATGAGATACTCTTTTAAAATGTGGATTCTCATCACTCCAGTAGTGTGTATTATGAGAGTTAAACATTCCTTGTCGCGCAAAGGTGGCCTCGTCGGTGAAGGGGATACATTTAAAAAATTGGGATTGAGGGCTGTCCTTTCTCGTAAGGTTTTATATCCGGTAAATCATTTGGCAAGAGTTCTTGGATTTGTCTGTAATAATAAAGAAGTAGCTGCTGCTCCTTAAGTATCCTCCAAGTACTTACAGAAGACGTATTTGTTTGTCGTGCCATTCCTTACTCTAATTGTTAAATCTTCATCAACTAAATTTAAAATGATATTATCTTTCTGAATGGTTCTTGTTGTTGTAGGCCTACTAGAATTAATTTTATTTTGTCCCACATTCCCAGTTTCTCGACAACGTCGATCCACGGCTCTGAAAAAGTTATTTTGTATGTTTATTCTAGGAAACTGTTCTGCATACTGCGTAAACGCTGCACAGGCGTTTTCTAAGTACTTGCCTGAGGTTAATAACATGTCTGCGTATTTAACATTTGAATACATTTTTGATTACTAATTAACGTATTTTTCCTACGACCACTTAGGAAAGTGACACATATCACACTATATAGTCCTATGGAAAGTGCCCTATATCACACGCGTATGAATAATAATTTACTTTCCACCCGTGTACGAATATGCTACTTTCCGCAGTAGCTGTCACAAAATGTCAAATACATAATTTCTATTTTGACCTATGTAATGTCCATATTAATACTAAAATCGATATGATTGTTAAATTATTGAAATTGTTGTAAATTAGATCCTAGATATTTATCTTTAACAATTATTATTAAAATAATTTTAAAATAACTAAGATATTATGTTTGCTCTTTATTCTGGTTAAATACATAACCGATTAGATCATTCAATTGACGTAAGGGCTATTAGCTCATATGGTTAGAACGTCGAACTTATCAACTTACGTTTGAGACCAGGCGAGCGACCGCGTTCAAATCCTGGCGGGGCCAGAATTTTTTTTAGTTTTTTTTAGTTTTTTTTTAGTTTTTTTTTTTTTTTATTTTTTTTCAATTTTATTTTTAGTTTTTTTTTTTGTTTAGAAAATATGAAAATTGAATATATACTAATATTGTTGATTATTTTTTTAAATACATTTTAATTATTATAGTAATAATAACCTATTTTTACATTTTTTGATGACATTATTTTGTGGTCGTATGGAAAATATTGTACATCACTTGTGTGAAAAGTGATTTTCCACACTCGTAATAAAATATACTATATCAACAATATTCAATGTTATTGACATTACCGCACATACTTTGATTTTCTTTTACTATACGGAGAATGGTCGCACTGCGCAGCTTTTTCAGTGCCTTTTAAAAGGAGATAGAAAACTCTGCCATTTTGATCCCTTATTACGTGTTGCCTACATCTTGGCGCAATATTTTTAATAGGTGCGTTTTAATCATTCGCTTCTGCTATCGAGTTTTATCAGAGTACCTTTTTAGTGTAAAATTAAATTATGCTTGAGTTCACATAAAATTTGGACTAGAAAATTTAACCTCAAAAAAGTTGTTTAAAACTACTCGGTATTTAAAATTAATTCTGATGCCTTGGTAGGATTCCCCACTCGACCATTCACTGTTGGGTTCTAATTAACAGTGCTGTTCCTAAAGTGGCGCTGGGAAACAGTAACAACGCCTACACAGAACACGAGGCGAAATAACCCTGGTAGTTGAAGCCGATGACACAAAAAAAACTACTCGGTGCGAACCGTGTAACTAGCTCCCTCTATGAAAGGGAGATATAAAAACAAATTTATGCGATGTGTCAGCTTCCAAAACATATTCGTACAGAATTTTATTACAATGTTGCTGGTAATTTCGAGTATCTTAAAAACGGATGCCGTTACGAATATTTTTTACTAAGCAAACCCAACTTATTTTCCAGTGGTCTACCTACCCTAGCAACAGGTTCACCTTTTTTTGAAACACCCTGCATAACATATTTTGTCATATTGTGTAGATAAGCTAGAATTATTTGCTATGAGTTAGCCTTATTGATGTGTTTTATTTATACATTTGTTATGTAAGTTAGTTATTTCAATGTGTGTTAACTATATCAATGTGTATTAGTTGTTCATTTGTTATGGGTTAGTCATATTGATGATATGTATGTTAGTTGTACATTTGTTATATGAGTTAGCTATTTCGGTGTTTACTAAGGGGTTAGGTGCACTGATCTGTATTATTTTACTGGATAG